CTCCCCCTCTCTCACACACACACACACACACTCTTCTCTCTCTCTCTCTCTCTCTCTCTCTCTGTGTTATTTTACGATTGTTGATATCCCTCTGGAAGTCCTGAAAAAAATGTACTAATCTAGTGTATTTGAAATCATTTAAGTGCTAACATTGAGAGTGACACAATGAAAATCTACCGGAATCCATGCCTGGATCATGAGCGCCATTTGGGAAGAGCCGGAGTTATGGTGGAAGACGTATGTATATGCCCTCAAACAATGGCTTGACCACCATGTCTCGTAACTCCAAGCAGGCAATGGGATTGATCCGGAGGTTTTGTAAGGTTTCTGGAATATCCAAGCCAGTAGACGAAAATAAATAAATAATGTTTAATAAATAAATGGAGCGTCTACTCAAATATGAGTATCCACAAAAATAAAGTAAATATGTGTGTGTGTGTGTGTGTATTGGAACACACAGTGAGAGTGACACAGAGATAATATGTGTATGTGTTTGTTAGATAAAGAATGTGTGCTTGTTCCTCAACATATAGGTATACTATCTTCTGGTCTTGCTATGGTTACATTGGCGTTCTACAACGTCAGCCATGTGAGAATATGATAAATAAAATTTCTATATATCATAATGTTCTGTAACTGAATATCGAAATGTCAGAAGATTCTATTTAAGACGTTTCATCGTTTAAAAAGACTTCACCAGATTAAAGAAATGTTCTTATAGATGGAATTGCATATATGTAGAAGGAAGAGGTTATATAACAAAAATGGGTTATAACTGTGCATCGTGTGGAAACCCTAAAGCTGTAAGGAAGCACAAATTTAAATTTTAAATGTTAAAATGTAGTCTCCCTCTATCTTCTGGGTTTTCCTTGATGAATTATTATTATTATTATTATTATTATTATTATTATTATTTGTGTATGTTATGTTTCCTGCTTTATATCCTGTAGAGCCAGGTCCAAACTATGGTTCATAGACACTATAGGATAATTGCCATATAATTTATAGCACTTTTATTAGTATATACGATGTACCTACTAGGCCGATGTTCTGGGCAACTTGTATCTTCATGTTATCTGGAACACTGTTAGTAAAATTGTCCATTTCTTTTCTCACGAAGCCCACATCCTGGTAATCTCGACCTCCAGATGCTTGGATTTGGACAATTTCTTGATAAATTTCATGGAAGTGCTTCTCTCAGATGGTACTGCTATGACAATAAGTACAAAATTATTATTATTATTATTATTATTATTATTATTATTATTATTATTATCCCTTTGATTTCTACTGTATACTAATTTCTTACCTGGCCGCAGCCAGAGACCTAAGATCAGAACTTGTATCATGACATTTTCCACTGAGTATTTTTTAAGTTAAAAAGTAAACAATAAAGCCCTTCGGAAGGTATGGGCTGTACTTCCAAGAACAATATTTTGAATTTCTCTCAAGCCTGGGCTACTAGGAATCCCTTCAATGGGTATATCCCGTCTTCTTCTTCTTCTTCTTCTTCTTATTATTATTATTATTATTATTATTTCGAGCCTTCTCGGACATTCATGACTCTATCACGCCAACAATAACGAACCCGCATCAAACAGAAAGTCCTATAAAGGAACGGTTTTCTTTTCACACTTTAATGCGCGCATGCCCAGGACATTATAACATGAAAAAATTATATAAAGGATAATTTTTCACGTTCTGCAGAACGCACAGCACATTGACAACCGTTTGCTTTTAAAAGCATACTGAAAAATTACGGTAATGGATAGCAACGCACAGTTCTGTATAAATACTTGTACCCCTGAACAACATATAGCTTTGTACCACTTGCACCCCTGACGATGATCTTGGAAGAAGATCGAAAGTACTTGGTAAATGAAAATAAAAGAAATTGAAACAGCTATAACACATTTCTCTCGTCCTTTTACACGGAAGGTTATTCGTGAGTACGAATGGATTTTGTTAAACAATTAGCATATATAATGTAATTATTTCAATCAGACATGCCTAAAAGAGAATTTGCTATCTAAATACACACACACGCATATATATATATATATATATATATATATATATATATATATATATAATATATATATATATATATCCTAAATGTAATGAGAAAAGAAAACAATATATAACTTCGAACGTTCACAGCATTAACTCAGAAGAGGGCACAATGCCGATAATAAAGCAATAATTATTTTTTCATATCTTGCAATTGGCTTACAAACAGAATTGTACATAACCATTTTGATTCTCACCGGTTGAAGTTTAATTAAATTCATTGAAACGAAGTTGCATCTTTGTAATGAGTAAATTGTTTTTGCCTATATGAAAAAATTAAATCTGAAATATTTTGAATTTATTTATTTAAACGTTATTTTTAATGGGTACTCATATTTTCTCCATTTTTATTATTAAACGGTATATTTGTTTATTTGCATCTAATGGCCTGAATATTCGAGAAATCTTATTAAAAAATTATCCGCGCTCACAAGATTTCAGAAAATATTCAGGCCGCTAAAGGTAAATAAATAAATAAAATAAAATGTTTAATAAAACAAAACATCTACTCAAAAAATATATGGGTGGTTATCTCTTATTATTGAATATAATATTTGTTATGATTTAAAAAGTCTAAACTATATTCAGATTGCTACTGTGTATAAAATAAAGAGATCATTTTTTTCTTCTCTTTTTTCTCTTCCTTTCTCCTATGATCACCCCTCATATAAAAACTTACAATAGTCCCCAGTTTTTATTTGCTCCTTTCTTTTCTTTTCTTTTCCTTATCTTCTCTTTTACCTTTTTCCATTTTTCTTTCATTCTTTCTTTCTTTCCTTCCCGTGTCTGGCCATTTTTTAAATAATTAATCATCCACTGACTGGTTTGAAAAACCTTCTAAATTATCAGTTTAATTTACAAAGTGATAATGATCATCACCTAATATAATTCTAATTTCTATTGTATGATATATATATATATATATATATATATATATATATATATATATATATATTTTTCAAAATATGATTCCATCGGTACATAAGAGTTCTCATATTTCAAAACAAGAGCCGAAAACGTCACTATTATTATTTGAGTTAAATTGAATTAAAGTACCAAGCTCTGTTGCATCTTCAAGCGAAATTTTTTTTTTGAAAAACTAATTCTTGAAATTTACGCGTTTTATAAGCATAATCATTATTAAAATTACTATGGTAACGGCTAGAGCAATTATTTAAAGAAAAGGGCGTAAGGGTTAATAATTTGTATCAATATCTCAGTTACGTTCAAAGAGGTCAAGTCAAGGTAAGGTTGGGGTGTCTAAATTTAAAGCGGAAGATGACATCGTCTAGGCTCTACTTTTGTATCGGGCACTGTTTTTTTTTAAATAATAACAAAAATACTAAAGAACGTTGGATTATTTACCTAACGAGTTCTTTCCTATTTTCCATATATTTTCACACACACACACACACACACACACACACACACACATATATATATATATATATATATATATATATATATATATATATATATATATATATATATATAGGATGCGATGGATAAATAGCTGTTTAAATGAGGCAATCGTCAAAGTAACGCTGACATCTCGTTTTAACAGATATATTTACCAAAATTACACAAGAATAGCTTGAAATACTAAAGTGTAAATGTATATAATAAATCAGTCAACTTCAGAATCTTCTGCAAATCATAATCAAATCATAAAACATAATCATTATCAAATCGCCACTTTATCGTAAACATTGAATAGTATTTTGCTAACATTTATTTTATTTTATGTCTGTAGGATATACTTAAAGGAAAAAAGAAGTTAATCACTTAATCGCGCCACGCTCTTCCATGCTCAATCAAAGACAAAACATATAAATACATTCACAACGATGAAGCCAAGAGTTATGAATAAAAAATTATTTTCTGAATGGTGATCCACAAACAAATAATAAAAATATTCATCGACCATTCCTTCTGGTAGAGTGAGGCTTATTTCGATTTAATATGCGATCTGTAATGTTTAGAATTCCATTTTATTCCCGGTGCAAATATTTGTTTTATCCTCGATTGGGCTTTGAAGAACGAGCAAAGATTAACTTCATTTATTATATTTTCAATTTACCACTTTACATTGAGCAGTATTTTCCTTAGTCTTCCTCTCCTTTGTTTGAATATAGTTGTATATGAATATATACCTTTTAAAATATCCACCATAGATTGTAGTAATTTTTTGCATTTTTTTAAAAATTTTTGTTCTTATTAGGTTTCAGTTCCGCCTTGAGAATAGCATAAATGCTTCACCGATGGGGGTTCATTATTGTTCATTATAGATGAGTAATTCTATCTTAAAGTGGTTTATACTATTGTAAAAAATATCAACTAGTTGTCAATAGTTACCTTAGATCAGCGATTGATGTAGTAATTTTCGTTATAGCGGGTCTGTGCTGAAAACTTTTACATACACAACTGAACGTTCAGATAACCTAACGTCACACGATGATATTCACCCGTTGAAGGCACTGCGTAGGTGAAGGCAGTTCTCTTGTAGTTCGTATATTTCACTAAGGAAATCTTCGCAGACAACTTTGCAAGCCGTGAACAGTTGCAAAGTGTCCGGGATTTAAAAGTAAGGATTAACATTAGACTGACATCGATTATATTGAGCGAAGATGTTGTAAGAATTTATGTGCAGCTATCGGTAACATACATGACACCTTATATAAGTCAGCTTATGTTTGAGACCATATACAATTCGTATATCTTTACTGTAAATTTCACTGTAGACTACTGAGAGAAGATTGTGTTGGCTGGTGCGTGTTAGTGATACTCATGGGATGATAACAGCGCGTGGCAATGAATTGAGAAAAAAAAACGGGATAGGTAAATCCTTTATTGTTTACTTGTGAATATTTTACATGCACAGATTTCAACCCAAGGGAAATTGTTATTCATGAAAAATAAGTAAAAAATTATCAAAGAAAATACCCTAAAGAAAAAAAGAAAGAAAAGAAAAACAAAATAAAAAGGGAAAAAGAAAAATCTGGAAGTGAAGATTCGGAAGAAAAAATGGAAGCGTATAAGTAAGAAAAATTCTGAAAGAGAAAAAGCGAAAAGAAAAATGGAAGGATTTATGAAAAAATCTGAAAGGAAAAAACGAAAGAAAAAATGGAAGGATGTAAGAAAGAAAAAAAATCTGAAAGAAAAAACTGAAGGGTGTAAGGGAGAAAGATTCTGAAAGGGAAAAAGCGAAAGAAAAAAAATCTGAAAGAGAAAAAAAGAAGGTAAAAAGTGGAATGGTGTAACAAAGAAAAAATCTGAAAGAAAAAGCGAAAGAAAAAATGGAAGGATGTAAGAAAAAAATCTGAATGAAAAATGTGAAAGAAAAAAATGGAAGGATGAAAGAAAAAATCTGAAAAAAAAGTGAACGAAAAAAAAATCAAGTGATGTAAGAAAGAAAAGACTGAAAGAGAAAAACTGAACGGCGTAAGAAAGAAAAAGACTGAAAGAGAAAAACTGAAGGGCGTAAGAAAGAAAAAATCTAACAAAGTAAAAACAAAAAAAGGACAGGTTGGGTGTAAGAAAGAAAAACTCTGAAAGAGAAAAAGCGAAAGAAAAAATGGGAGGGTGTAAGAAAGAAGAAATATGAAAGAGAAAATGTGAAAGAAAAATAGAAGTGAGTAAGAAAGAAAATCTATGAGAGAAAGAATAGAAGGTTGTAAGAAAGAAAAAAATGTGAAAGAGAAAAAAATGGAAAGGGCGTACGAAAGAAAAATGTGAAAGAGAAAATATGGAAGGGTTATAAGAAAGAAAAAACTGAAAGAGAAAAAGCGAAAGAAAAAAATGGATGATTGTAAGAAAAAAATCTGAAAGAGATAAAGCCAAAGAAAATGGATAAGTGTAAACCTAGAGAGAAAGAAAGAAAGAAAGAAAGAGGACCAGAAAATAATCAAAAGCAACTGAAAAACTAAAAAAAAAAAATAGAACGCCAAGAAAAGAAGAAGACAAATTGTAAAAAATAAAAGAATAAAGAATAACAAATAAATGACCATTCAAGGAACGCAGAGAGAGATCGAAAGAAAAAAAAGGTAAAGCGAAAGAGGAAAACGACTGAAAAAAGAAATAACACAAATGAAAATGAAGAAAAAAGATAAATAACATAAAGGAAGAAGATGTAAAAGAAGGTCTAGAAAGAAAGAAAGAAAGAAAGAAAGAAAGAAAGAAAGAAAACAGTAATTAAAATAGATTTTCACTATTTGAGAAAGGTCAGACAAAGAAAAATGAAGAAAGCCAAAAACAGAAAAGTGATGTAAACGAAAACCAATAAATAAAAAACCTGACGCCCAGAAACAAAGAAAGAATGAAAAATATGTCAGAAAGAACAAACGAGAAATAGAATGTAGTTTCAAAGCAGAAACATGGCGACTAGTGAAATGTTACCGTCTATTTCCGATCTGGTCTCGTACCGTTATATAAGAACTGATTACAAACAACTTGTGAGTGTTTACAAAGGTTTAATTCTCGTGAGGACATTTTAGGTGTGCAGGTATTATATGAGATTCCAAATTCATAGATATTTCGCTTCGCATCTTCTTCTCTCCAACGGGGGCGTGCGTGCCTGTTGGTGCTTCTGTTATTCAACTATCTCCTGTCTAACAGACTGAATATATATTCTATAGCGAGAATTTAAAATAGAATGCAATATATACAGTTAAGGGAAAGAGCGATTTATTCGCCCCTTAGCGGTAAGTATTTCAATGACAATGTACTTTATATGCCAACAGTGATACATGAAAACGTATCGGACTAATATTATATTGTTTAACAGAGATTTCATCACATGCTGCCAGTTGAAACGGATAAATATTAAAGAAAAAAAACTGCAGCTCCTCAGTAAAAAAAAAATGTATATATGGGACATAATGCATGAAGTTAGAAAAGAAAACAGCAAATACATCACTCTGGTTATTGATGGGAGATATTTGAAAGAAAAGAACATAGAGGAATTGGATATTTGCCATTTATGCCAGAAAAAAGATATTACCAGTAATACACTATTAAATGGGTAAAAAATATTAAATAAAAATATTAAATAATGTCGGAATGCAAAGAAGCATAAAGAATTTACAGTTACACTTCGAATTTGACGGAAAATCATTAATGGCACCATAAAGCAATATGCAAATTGATGACACCGCATGGATTAAATTAATCATCATAGACTTTAAGAAATTTAGTTTTTGTTTTTTTTGTTTTTTTTGTAAACCGACGGAAAAGAACAAAATATGAATAGCTGAATATACAGGGTGTGTCAGAAATACTTTTACATTCTTTCGGGGCGGGTTCTGCAGACCAAAACAAGGACAAAAGTCCATTTAAGCATATGTCCGCAAATCCTTCATTTAAGAAATGTTTACGGTAGATGGTGCTGTGGTGACATATAGACTAGGCTACATTAAACATTTGTGGCTAGACTGTCTTCAAAGTTTAACGTGTGTAGTAGGGAATTAACTGGGAAGTGTTTCGTTTAACAATTTCAGGATATTCAAAGTTTCAAAAAGTATTTTATGATTGTATCTTAGACTGTACATTGAACATCGTCTACCGTAAAGTTTAAACTAATACCTTAAAAACGAAGGATTTCAGATATATTTTTATAGAAATTTTGTCCCTGTTTTGGTGTGAGGAACGCGCCACCAAATTTTATAAAATTATTTTGATGCTCCCTGTATATGGATAGCAGAATGGCATATATATATATATATATATATATATATATATATATATATATATATATATATATATATGAGGTCAAAGGTATCGGAACTGATCTCTCTCTCTCTCTATATATATATATATATATATATATATATATATATATATATATATATATATATATATATATATATATATATATATATATATATATATATATATATATATATATATAAGGGTATCAGAACTGGTCCATAAATAGAAGATTACAGTCCCTTCGAAAGTCACAGACTTTATCCAGCGACGTTTCCGTTGATGGAATAATTCCTGTTTGGGATAGGGAGTAACTGCTTCTTCGCATTCTCTTGGGTTTCTTCTGGAAATCATATTCTTTTCAAGTGGGATTTGATTTCTGGAAAGATAAAAAGTCTCAAGTGGCGAGATCTGGGGAATATGTTGTTTGTCGAACCTGGGGAATGTGTACTTGGCCAGAAACTGCTGCACGAGCTGTGCTGAATCAGTATGTTCGTTGTCATGGTTGAGTTGCTGCTCACCGGACACATGCGATTGTGTCCTTTTCCGACGAACAGAATACCGTAAACACCGCAACACGTCACGGTGGCACCCCTTTTTTTCTGTTTGACCAGATGGAGCAAATGATAAACATTTCCCTTATAGTCGTAGAAAACTGTCAAAGGCATATTCATATTACATCGTCTCATTCGTGCTTTCTTCGGTCAGGTGCAGTTTGGATTCTTCCAGTGCGAAAACTGAGATTCGTTTCGTGGTCATAGCCATAGAACAACGATTCGTAACATGTTATGACCATTTTCAAAACGTTTTCATGTATATACATATATATATATATATATATATATATATATATGAGTGTGTATGTGCGTGCGTGTGTGTGTGTGTGTGTGTGTCTGTGTGTGTGTCTGTGTGTGTGTGTGTTTCGTGTTTAGCCTTTCTACGGCGCATCATGAGTTTCAGAAAATTTAATACTCACAAACTTATTGAGCAAAGGAGGGTTTGTATTAAACTAGCAGCATGGCCCGGCGTTGCCCGTGCTTGATTCAAAAATTGTACGACTCATACAGCAATCGCTATCACTTGACTTAAAATATTTTTGCCCTTCCTTGCCTTTAAAGGAGTGCCCTTTGCCGTGCTGATGTTGCTACATCAGCACGGCAAAGGGCCTATCTCACTTTGCGAATGTTTTCTAAGCTCTATACTAAACATTAACAGGTTTAACTTTTTCTCAATTGTGACGAATGCAGCTATCGATCTTTTTTTTTTTTGCATGGTAGAATGCTAGTAAAAATTCGTCTCAGTCAGTTGTTGGCTCTCATGCAGGACAACAGAATCTTCCTGTCTATTCGTGGCAGCCAGCTATAGGCTCTCACTCTGGCCAGTAGAAAATGGCCGCAAACACATGAAAACCGTAAAGCACAAAAAAAATCGATTATTTCCACTATCGATGGGAGTTGGGAAATGCAAATTCGGTCTTGGCCTTTCCGCTTTCCGTCGAAAATTGTGGCCGTACATTCGACACACACACACACACACACACACACACACACACACACACACACACACACCTTTTATAGATAGAGATGATGGCAGCGGAGACAAATTGTAACATTTAACACGCTATTGGACAGGATGTTTTGCAGAGCCATGAACACCGATGTCTTGTAAATCCACATCATATAAATAATATTGATAATGTCAATGAAGATCATACAGAAAAAAATTTACACCAGTGCTAAAATGTATAAAAAGAAAAAAAAATTGTCAGTAGTAAATTCCTGATACGAATTGTCACATATTCAGACAAATTCATATCCATACAACTTACTATGTTAATTCTTTCACTGATATTGAGCGCCTTCACTAGTACCGCGCATAATATATATATATATATATATATATATATATATATATATATATATATATATATATATATAGTTTTCTCCTTATATCAAAACTCTCTAACAGGTGATTTTAATGGCAACCGGATAATTTTTTCGGTCAGCCTCCGATTTGCGCACATTCTCGGGTCATTTCTAAGTTAAGCACCTGAACTTCTTGTCCGCCTGGTGCCATCATATCACAAAAGCAACAGAAGTAAAAAAACATAGATTAAAGAAATGAAGAATGAATGAAACAATGAGGAAAGAAAAGAAGGGGGAGAAAAGAAAGGAAAAGGAAATAATGAATAAAAAAGAAAGAAAGAAAACACAAAGAAATAGCGATAAAAAAGATGGAAGAAAAAAAAGGAAATTGTTTCATAAATTTCGTCTGTCTCTTTCTGATCGTAAATATACTTTTAGATGTTATTATTTTGCTTCAGATGCCCTTCTCGTGTCTAAAAATAAGGAAAGAAAAGCAAAAGAAACAAAAAAGGAATGGACAAAAGAAATAACAAAAGCTTGACAAATCACAAAAGAAAGAAAAAAAGAAAAGAGAGACATAACAATAGAGAGAAGAAGAAAGAAGAAACAAAAAAGAAAGAAAGAAAGAAAGAAATTAAAGAACAATAGAAAGGGGGGCAATATGAGGAAAATCTGCAAAGAAAAATGAAAGAAAGAAATGAGAATAACCAATAATATTCCGTTGACATGAATTATATCAAGTAAAAGAGATCTGTCGTGTTCTTACGCACACACACACACACACACACACACACACACACACACACACACATATATATATATATATAATATTTTATGAGCGAGACCTTATATAACAACCACGCTTCGGAAATAGCATTGTGTCGCCAGCTGACTGTAATTTGGAAAGCCTCAACTGCTGAAGGCTATTCACAGCTTTTCATTACCAATACATTCATTGGTAAGTAACTTGTGAATATTTTTCATGTCTGACGCCAAGAATTTATCTTTCTTTTTCCCATCGTTCACAGATTGCGACGCAATGAAACTATTATCAATATAATAAACAAACACTGGTCTTGAAAAAAAAAGCTCGAATTACGGAGTACATACGTTGATAAATTGAAATGTGAAATCAAGTTTTGGAGCAAATTGCTTACTTTTTTTTTCTCTCTCCATACACCTGGATGATAGATTCGAAAAGTATCTAATCAAACATTGATGAATGTCTTTCAAAGCTGTCACGCAAAATCTGTGTGAGGTCAACTAAAAGTACGATAACATAATGAAAAAGGAATAGTTCATGGTGGTGTTAATTTTCTAGTCGTTTTCTTTTACTAAAAGGCATTTAGTACAAAATGTATGAAATTATCTCTCTTCCCATCTGAAGACGAATAACATGTTACGAATATTCCATATGCATTAATATAACTTAAAAGTGTCCCCATTATTTTTGAGAGGGCAAAACGCTAACAAAAATGGCGCTGGCGTACAGATATACAAAGACCAAAATATACCGATCATGCCATCAAGACGAATAAGGATATAGTTCGCACATGCATCACAACCAAATGGGTACAATTTGTAAACTTTTTTTTTTTTAACTTTTCAGGTTGGATAAACAAATCTCCTCAGTTTCCGATCGATGGCATCTCCAAAATATCTAGACGTGACTCCCAGGTTGCCTTGGCTGCCTCATCCTTTAAACTTAAAGAAATACAACCCAACTACTCCCGCTCATGAAAAGATATGAACAGTGGACGAGTACCAATGGTACATGGCCACCTTTATTCTTCTTCTTCTTCTTCTTCTTCTTCTTCTTCTTCTTATTATTATTATTATTATTATTATTATTATTATTATTGTTATTGTTATTATTACTGCTGTTTTTGTTGTCGTTGTTGTTGTTATTGTTTCATCAAATTTATGGCAAAATGAATAGGAAAAATGAGAGCCGTCTTTGTTGATTTTTGGCATTAGTTGAAAGACATTGCTCTTGTGGTACCATAATAAGGTCTTCTGTTTCCCATTTAAGGCCACTGCTTCTAAACCATTGATGAATCTGGTGCAGAACGATGTCTGGTTTATCCAGACGCTTTCGGTATGTGCCATGCAAGGATTTAGATCTTCATTTTTGCAAAAGGGTCTTCATATAAGCAACTTTCGCTCATAACTTAATTTTCTTTGTTGCAGCGGTGACAGATTCACAAACTTTACCGGCCTGAGTATCTGGAGCATCAAAGGTTTCCGATTTCTTGACTGTGTTTAATGACTTTAATAAGTATTCTTAGAACTCTCATGCTTGGATTCAGCCTTCGAATACTTATCTGGTGTTGTTTCTAACTATTTTGCTTGGCATGGGATCATTATGATTATTAGTAGTATTTTTATTTTCTTTGATTTCTGGCGTTTACACATTTCTTTCCGGGTCCCGCCCTGGGACCTAAGGTTAGAAATGGCATCATGACACTTTCCACTGACAAAAAAAAAAAAAAATTACGTAGATAAATTCCTTCGTAAAGTGTGGGCTGTACTTGTCAGAACAATTTTTTGTATCTCTTTGAGGCATGGACTTCCAGGAATCCCTTCAATTAGTCTACTGCAATCTTTTCCAACCAGTCCTAGGGCTCCAACTACAACAGGGATTGTTGATGTTCCCATATGCCACATTTTCGAGATTTCTATTTCAAGGTCCTTGTATTTTGATAGCTTTTTGAATATCTTCAAAGATACATTACAGTCAGCAGGGACTGCCATATCAATAAGGAGGCACCGTTTTTGTTTGTGGTCTTTAATAAGAATATCTGGGCGGTTGGCTTTGATTGTTCTGTCAGTGTGTATTGTGTAGCCACATAGAATTGTAACATGTCCTATCTCCGTAACTGGGTCTGGGTGGTGTTCATACCAGTTTCTTTCAGTTTCCTTCCCGTAGAAGTTGCAGATTTTTTGTGATTATTATTATGATTATTATTTGTGCATGTTATGTTTCCTGCTATGTATCCTGTAGAGCCAGGTCCAAACTATGGCCCTTAGACCGATTATTATTGGTACAGTCCCAGTCTTCATTCCCCACATCTCGATTTCCAGATGCTTGTATTTGGACAATTTCTCGATAATTGTCATGGGGGTGTTTCTCTCAGATGGTAACTTCCTGAATTTCTTGTCTTTTATGATAATATCAGGTCTGCCGACTTTTATTTCCCTGTCAGTTTGAATTGACATGTCCCAGAGGACAGTTACATTTTGGATAACTGTGCCGAGTTGGTGGTCATACCGTGTCCCTATGGGTTCGATTCTGTGCTTCTTGCATATCTTCCAATGTACATATGTTGATACTTGTTATGTCTGTTGGGTATAGTCATTTTTTGCTTGTTCCGGACATGCTGAGATAATATGGTCGACAGTTTCATCATATTTTCCGCATCATATGATCGACAGTTTCCTCATATGTTATTATTATTATTGTTGTTGTTGTTGTTGTTGTTCCTTCATTTCATATTTTCTTAGCGTTTATGTTACGCTCTGCCGTTGCCTCAGATAAATAATGGGCGATTCCTCTTTGCGAGGATAGCCGGGAAAGAGATATATCAAGGTTGCTGTTTGATTTTAGATAAAGAAAGAAAGAAAGAAAGAACAGGAGATAAAAACATAACGTGTTTAACGTCTCTTTCTGTGAAAGCAACAACTCTTGTCAATTTTGAATGGTTTTATTTGTACCCCCTTACTTCTTAAAAAAATAACCTGCATTCATATTTATGATTGTTATTATGAAATATAGTTTAAGTTTTTAAGCTCAGTTATTTAGCGACGTGACAGGGTAATTTCCATAGGTGTTTTATAGTTCTGGAGCTCGCAAAGAATTTCGCAATTAAGATTCATTACAAATAGGAAAACCGTTAAATTTGCCCGGATAGTGTTAGTTATTATTATTATTATTATTATTATTATTATTGCATTTGTTATTACTGTTGCTGTTGTTTACTAGTAATAGTAGTCGTAGTAGTTTTTATATGTGTATAGCGTAACGATTTATGGCGTGTATAATCGAACTACGACCCAGTCTTTTGTCTTTAGGTTGCACTCCTATACTCCTGGTAAAGGTAAGAATCCACCATTCCTTGCTCCACCTATGGGTTAAAGAGCATATTAAAGTGAACTCTCTAGCCTTGGGTTATAACCATTCAAGAAGACGGCTTACTCAGAATTCCAATACACTGAGTAGACACCGAGAAACCATTCCACTCTTTTACCAAGAAATAATGGTAATTCGCAAATAATAAAGAAAACGGGACCTATGATCTCTTAGGTTATGTCGGAACATGGCGTTACAAAATTATTATTATTATTATTACGAGCCTATGAATTTTGAAATTCAGATAAGATGGCTTGTTCTCACGGTTAAAGAGTGGGTGAGCAAATCTTAAGCACCTTCCTCAGTATCGATTATTATTATTTATACTATTATTTAATTTTTCATTAATACTATTAGTGTTTAATGCATTTCAGTTGACACCAGATTTTTGTTGGTAATCGCTGGAGACTGAGTGACAGCAACTCATCTTAAATTTCCAATACCTTCCTATGTAACATCACAGGTTGAAGTAACATTTTGGCTGTATTGTCCCGATACTTCCAAGTTCTAGGTCGTCAACTTACCTTTCTCGTGTTCATAGGAATCCATTAAATCAATATGTAACGAGTTTTTCCCCCTTTTCCTCGCAATGCCATTTTGAAAGTAATTTAGATAAAAAGTATAGAAACTGCGTACCATTCGCTACAATAATTGCCTTTGTAAATAGAGTAGCAATTTGTCTAATTTCAAGATAGAAATTCTGATAGATTCAGTTCTGCGTAACTAGTATAAATAATTTTCCAGAGGTACAATTTGGTTCAGGTCTTTATGCTGACACCTATGTGAAGGGGGACTGAAAAGTTCTCAGTCCGACTAAGAAGCACTATTTTGTCGTTTATTTATATGTTTGCTCTAATAGTTGGTATTTTTTTGAACTTTTTAGCACAAACTTGAATATATATATATATTTTTTTTTTCCTGAGACCTTCTAGGATAGAAACTGACAGCGTCTTCTTGGTCTCATGATTTCCATTGGCATGAAGTGGAAAGACTATTTTGATTCTCTTGTGGATTCCGAGATGAAATCCGGTCTCAAATGAATGACAAACACAGGAATGAAATATAGCAAATAAATGTATTGACGTAATAATACAATTGGCAATACGGTTAGTAGATCCAGAAATGCGGTTAGTAGCAATAATAATATATATATACAGTCTGGGAAATTCAGTATCGAAGTAGGACTTCCTTCTGAGTCTACGTGCTCGCAATTGTGACTCCTACAAAGCGGTCACCTCACACTCTTACTATATCTTCTGACTGTATCA